CCCCCACCGCATTCCTAGGGACGGGCATGTTAAGGACATGCCTGCAAGTAACTCTGCAACAACGCTGGCACCTTTGACCTCCTCTAGAAAGACCTGCTGTTTTCTGTTTGGCCCCTGGACTGGCAAGCCTTCCAGATGGCTCTCTTAAAATTCAAAGCCCTCCGTCGGCCACCAAGAGCTGGGGGGGGTGGCATGTCTGAGCTGCTCCTGCTGTTGCTAACCCCCACCCCCGTCCCCTCTGGGTTTCCTCCTCAGACCATCCTGAAGCTACTGGTCGCAGGGGAAGGGCGTTCCCGTACAGGTGTGATGATCCCCATTCCCCAGTACCCGCTCTACTCGGCGACGCTGGCAGACCTCAACGCGGTGCAGATCAACTACTACCTGGACGAGGAGAACTGTTGGGCTCTGAACACTGAGGAGCTGCGGAGGGCACTGGTCCAGGCCCGGGAACATTGCCAGCCCCGCGTCCTCTGCGTCATCAACCCGGGCAATCCCACTGGTAAGGAGCTCCGGAGGGTGCCTCCTTCCGGCATAAGCGGTGTCAAGACATTCACAAGGTTCCATCTCCTGGGGAAAGGGGGCTGGAGCTTTTGCCCTGTGGGCTTCTCCTGAGCCCTCAAGGAGCCTCCTGGGACATTGCCACCAGCTGTCTCCTGTGGGCGACTCTGTGGCAGCCATAGATGGGTCTTGCTGGAATGATGCGGGAGGCTCTTTCTCAAACGTGGCAATTTGGGGCCACAGTTTATCCCTGGAGGGCCCAAGCCTGTCTGTGGTCCAAGGATCATCAGGAACACCCTCCAGGTTTCCAGTCCAGTCACCGTGTGGTCCCCATCTCCTCCACAGCAATCAAGGCTTCATTGTTAGGGAGATCTTGGGCTGGGAGGGGGGCAGTCAATGGAATCAGGACCTCACAGACTGCCCCCTCCCAGCAAGTGGTAGGAGGGCTGCCTTTCCTGGAGGATTTGAGGCCCTTTTTCTTCTCTTCTGCTCCTGGGAGAACAAGACCAAGTGGACTCTTAGGAGGTGGAATTGGAAACTTTCAGCAATAGCAATGCAGGGATCAATATTTTATAGTAACCCCAGAAGACAGGTGCACCGGCTTCGTTCGCACAACACAAACCCTTTGCTTCCTGAGTTCACGCTCTACATTGGACCATAAACTAACCAAAGTGGGCTGCACTTATGAACAAAGAAATCTAACCATGATTTCAGCTAATCAAGCTTACCATGTATATGATTGAAGCTGGCCCAGAATCTAGCCTTTAGCCCCCTGCTGGCCATCCTTGGCTAGTACAAGCTCAGCATCCTGGCCTGTTTTCGACTCTGCCCTTCCTTTCCCTCCGGGTCCTTCACGGGTTGGTGTCTTCGTTCACCGCCAAAAGAGATGATGGCTTTCCTGTTGTTTACGCAGTCATTTATCCTGGAATGGAAGGGGTGCGATGTCAGCCTCTCTGCTCTTCTGACAACTCATTTTTGTCTTCTGGTGAGATGGAAGAAGAACCAGAACCAGAAGTGAGTCCCCCAGTTCCAAATCCAGCATAATGGGCTGCGTAGACAACCTCTGAGCCTCTGTTGAACTGCCCCCTCTTTGCTTTCTGTTCTTTAATCACTTAGCAGTCCATAAAACGACAGGGCCAGGTTTACTCCAGGGTCTTCGATGGGGACTTTGTCAAAGGCTGTTTGGAAATTCATGTACAAAAAAACCACCAGGGTCATCTGCATCTAGGGGACTGCTGCCACTCTTAAAAGGTTCTGAAAAGCGGATTCACCTTCATGGAACGAGCCTTTCTTCAGAAGCCTCAGCGCTTGGCTCTTCCCCACTGCCAGTGTGACCATCAGGGTGGCCCCTTGGCTCCTTGGCCGAGACTGATTGGAGGGAGACGTTTCCTGTTTTTGCCAGGAGGTTGGCCGTTTCCCGTCTCCGTTCCCAGCGACTTGGGGATTTGTGTGCCAGCCCTGGAGTTCCTTCCTCCGAGCGATTGATCCAGGGAGTCTCTTCCTCTCTCGTTCTCCCCGCAGGTCAGGTCCAAAGCCGCAAGTGCATTGAGGAAGTCATTCACTTTGCCTGGGAGGAGCATCTCTTCCTCATGGCTGATGAGGTAAGCTCTTGGAATTCTCTCCTGTCCCCCCATATTGAGCCACTGAATCCCCAGCTTTCCTTTGCAGGGCAGGCGCCTGAGCCAGGAGGCAAAGCGTGCCTGCGGTCCTTCTGGCCCTCATAAGTTCTGGCTCAGCCTTCCTGAGTGTGGTGCCTTCCAGATGCTTGGAACCACGGTGCCCCCCAGCTCCAATCTGCGTGGTCAGGGATCAGGGGAACTGTAATCTAGAACATCTGGAAAGGGTCTGGGGCTTAAGTGGGTCTGCCCTTCTGTGTGCCAGCTGGGCTCTTGAGTTTCCCCTGCTGCCTCCCAGCCACGTCGCTTTTCCACCGCCAGGTTTACCAGGACAACGTCTACGCAGAGGGCTCCAAGTTCCACTCCTTCAAGAAGGTGCTTTTTGAGATGGGTCCCAAGTATTCGCGGAGTGTGGAGCTGGCCTCTTTCCACTCCATCTCGAAGGGCTTCATGGGCGAGTGAGTGGCGCACCTGCTCTGGGACTCTGGCGCCCCCTGCCGGTGGGACAGGACATGGCAGGACGTGCTTCCACGACCTCTGTGCCTGCTGGCCAAGGCCATCTCCTGTTGTCTTGCGTCGCCAGGTGTGGCTTCCGTGGAGGTTACATGGAAGTGATCAACATGGATCCAGCAGTCCAGCAACAGCTGACCAAGCTGGTCTCCGTCCGGTTATGCCCACCGGTGACTGGCCAGATTCTCCTTGATGCCATGGTCAACCAGCCGCAGCCTGGAGACCCTTCCTACCAGCAGTTCAGCCAGGTGAGCCCAAAAGAGGCAAGGTAGCAAATGGGGTGGAACACTGGGGTGCCCCCCCCCCCGCTGATCCCAGTGAACCGGTTTCATGAAGACGCTAAAAATGCAGAACATCTGCTGGGTGCTGTGTTGTGCTTTATGGCACCCTTCCCTGGTCCTAGGCCTTCCAGATCTCTTAACTGCCGTGCCCGTCATGCCTAACTAGCGCTAGCTAAGGGTTATGAGAGTTGTCATTCCACACATCTAGAGGGCATCAGATTAGGGACAGTGGCATATGTAATGCACAGATTTGGATTCTGAATTTTTTTTTTTTTTGGAAATATGTGTATTTTCATCTTGGTGCAAGGCAGCACTTACATAGAAGGTGCCCACATGGAAAAAAAGTGCAGGGCTTCAGCTGTTTGTTGCGGCTGCTGCTTGACTTTTTGACCCCCCTCCCTAGCATCTGCATCCATGTGGGGGGGGCAAAAAAGTCAAGGTGCCAGCTTTGTTGGGCATTCTTTTGCATTTTAGAAGATTGCAGAGTGTGGAGAAAGACAGTTACTCCTCTGAGTCTCTCCACTGCAGCTGGAACATTAACTTAAAGGGGAAATACCACGAATGACAGTGCCCCAGGCACTGGGTCCAGGGGGCCGGGGGAGCCCATCCTGTGTGGCTGGAATGAGAAGTACTGTTCTGAGCGGGCTGTGGCACATTGCCCGTCATTTTGTTCATTTCATTCATGGCTTTTTAGCATATTGACTGCCCGGTCCTGATAATGGGAAGGGTGGCCATTGAAATAGTTTACATACATACATACATAAGTGCCTACAGAATAACGAAGAGAACACTGTGGACTGTGGGCCATCAGAGTCTCTAGGCCTGTTTGCAGCGGGCAGAGGCATTGTTGACCACCGTGGCTGCAACCTGGTGGCAGAATCTCCTGTCATTTTGGGATGGGAAGCTCCAAAACGTCACGTGAGCCCTAAAGCAGGTTTTGATGGTTTTAAAACCCAAGAAAACTGCCCAGCCGCCCCCGCCGGGGAAAGTCCTTCAGGAAACTCCAGCCCTGCTGGCCTTGCAGTTCTGCCCTGCCCTGCCCTGCCCTCCCCCAAAGGTTGCCCATCATGGTGAAATGATCAGTGGTTCATAACAGCCACCCAGAGAGCCTCCAACTTCAGTGGCAGTGCAGCTGGCAGAACCAGTTGCTCTCTGCCCTGCCTGTGAGCTTCTGATCCTGGCTATGGAGGAGGATGCGACAAGGGCAGCTGAAAGGGGGAGCGGTTCTCACTTTTTCTGCTGACGGGCAGCTGTGCCCCCCCCAAGAAGCTGGCCCGTTCGCTGTTGCTGCTGCTTGTTGAGGTCCCCTGGGCTGCCCCTCGGTGGGGTGGAAATGGCATGTAGTGAGAAGCTTTGCGGGGGTGCTGTGGGCTCGTAGGCAGCTGGGAAGAGGCCCCGACAGGCTTCACGTGCTGCACAAGCCATGATTTCTTCTGCATAACTTAGCTGATCAGTCCACAAAGGGCCGGGTTCCCACAGCACGGAAGCCAGCAGAGGGCCTTGCAGTTTCTGTGAACCTGGCTTGTGTGCTGGGTGGTGGGAGTTAAGCACCGCTGCGGTTGTGCCAAGGGAAAGGGAGCGCTTGGGCACCATCACACGTCTGCCCACCTGCAGGAGAAGGCTGCTGTTCTGGGCGCTCTGGCCAGGAAGGCCCAGCTGACTGAGGAGATCTTCAACCGGGCTCCTGGGATCCACTGCAACTCGGTGCAGGGGGCCATGTACGCCTTCCCCCGAATTGAGCTCCCCCCTCGCGCTGTGCAGGACGCCGAGGTGAGGCAGCCAACTCCCCGGGCCTGGCATCTCCAGAGATGGGGAGGGGCGGCTGGTTGGTACCCTGGAGGTGCCAGGGGCTGCCTAGGTGCCCCAGGGAGAAGGAGCTGGTTGGCATGGCTAGGAAAGGGAGGGAGGCCGGGGCCTGGGTCAGGTGGGCACGATCCGTCCCCATCTTCTGCTCAGAGAGACTCCTGTGCACGAACCAGGAAGTGGAACCAGTGCTGTCCATGGGAGCGTCAAAAAGGTCAAAATGGCTGCTGTATGATCAAAGTGTTAAAAGGGAATGGGGCTTCAGGGGTGTGGTTTGTCCACCATCTTGACTTTTTTGACTCCCCCTGCAAATGTTTTGGGCCTGAGATAGTTCAAAACATTCCTGGCCAATCTGAGATAAGTCCACCTGCAATTAACACAGTTATACCCCGCTTTTCTCTTTATTCCAACACCTGAGGTGGCTTGCACCCATAAAAAATACTGAACCAAATCAATGCAGTTAAAATCAAAAGCACCATTAACCCAGCTGCAGATGTGGGCAGCCCCCCTGATCTCCCCCGCCTTCTGCAGGCACAGGGCCAGGCTCCGGACATGTTCTTCTGCCTCAAACTGCTGGAAGAGACGGGTATCTGCGTGGTGCCCGGCAGCGGCTTTGGCCAGAAAGAAGGCACCTTCCACTTCAGGTAAGAGCTCTCCTGCCGTTCCCTGTGGCTTCTATCCCAGGGGCCCCAAGTGAGACACCAGACTGGTCCCCTGGGAGCTGGCCCCTGAGCCACCCTTGGTGGGCACCATCAGCTCCTCTTACCAGCCTCCCCCCAGCAGTTCCGGGCCCTGAACCCCTCGGGATCCCGAGAGCTCGCCCGCTCTGGCTCTGTCCATAACGCCTGGGCCTCCCAGCAGCCGAGGGCTACCAGGGCCAGCCCATGACTCCCATGGTGCGAAAACTGAAGGCCGTGACTGAAACGTGGATATGTCCACACCTGCCCGCTGGGCATGGGGCAACAGGGCTAAAGCACATGGGCATTGGTGAGGTGAATGGCTTTTGGTGCAAGAGTTCCGGCCTCATCGCTCCAACGTGCTGCAGCAGAGAGCAGGGACCACAGAAGGGGGGGGTCCTTTTGAGGTGGCTCCTGCTCTAGAGAACATCTGAGTTCCTTTGGGGTAAAAGGAACCCCCCTCAGGGAAGGAAGGAGTTTGGGGCTGAGTTGCCCCTGGGAAGTCATCTGGAGCCCCTGAAGGCCCTTCGGTTGAAGTAAAAAATCTTGCCTTTGGCATGAGACAGAGTGGACCAGAGAGTCCTCTTTCCAGCCTCCTTTCTTTCTCACGTGGTTCTCTTCTTGCTCTCTCCATCCCAGAATGACCATCTTGCCTCCCCAGGAGAAGCTGGAGATCCTGTTGCAGAAGCTGAGCCAGTTTCATGCCAAGTTCACCCAGGAATATTCCCAGCGCCAGCTGTAGCGTGAGACAGAAAGGCCAGCTGTAGAGAAGCTAGGGCATTGGGGTGGGGATCACCCTCTAGTCTTCATGCCACCTTCAGGGTTTATGAGCACCCTCAGCCCCGTCCTTGTCCCATCTCCATTTATTAAAGAAAAGGCAGGGGAAGGCTTGGAGCACAGACTGGGTGTTGGGGAACATTGCCAACTATGCCTGACCTCGAATGGCACACTTAGGGATCTGCAGATGGGTGTCTCCTACAAGCAAGACCTGGGCAACTTTGGGCACCAGCTACCTTGAGCAATTTGAGGTCATCAAGCCAAGTTGCTGTCTCCTGGGAGTTGGCTTGCTGACTCCTCCACATTCATGGGCTCGGCCCTAGCCCTAGCCCATAACGCCAGTCCTGCCGTCTAACTCAGGGCCCCAGCACCGACGTGCCTTCGTGCTCTCAGTTCCCCACTGGGGCTCCTCTGCTCCTTTCGTGGACGTTGCAGCTGTGCTGGGTGTCTGCTGGGTCAGGGAGGTTGCCATCCATTTCACCTGGGACAGACACCATCAAGACAGGTTTCCAGGCTGAGGTAGCCCTGAAGTCTTTTCTGAAATGAACATCGTGCCTTGGTGGAACAGAGGGCCAGTGCTCCCTCCACATTTCTGTGAATGTGAAAGGGGGCTGCAGAGGATCAATAAAACCTACTTGATAAATAGCTTGAATCCCATCTCTGTGGGTGCAGACACCACGCTCGGTCTGGGGGCTTCTCACAACACTTGGTGGGTGATAAACACAGAGGGAGAATGAGTGTGGAGTGATCGGGAAGGCTGGGTCTGAGAGCCTGGGTGCTCCTCCATTTAATCATCTGGAGCCATCTTGGCCACACTGGAAGATGCTTCACGCTCTGTCCCAGGGACCAAGGAGGCATCTGGACTGGCGCTCTTTGAAAAGGACATTTGCTGCCAGTGTCCCAACTGAACTTCTTTTGGCTGCTGCTCCAGTTGATCCTGGTCTCCTCTCCCCACCCCCCACCCCAATTTGCCAGCAATATTTACTCTGATGGCTGCAGGTTGCCTGACACAAAAGAAGCTCTTTGCTACGTCCTCCAAGAGGCTCACGTGTTCTTAAAATACCAGGCAAGAGAAGAGGTGTGAACAGCCAGCGCCTCTCTGCATTTCTGGTGTGAGGTAGGGAGAGAGGAGACTCCCTGGAGGGTGGGAGCTCCAGGCCCTCTCTGGCTGCCCTCTTACATCAGGAGCCCCCCAGGCTTGGGGCCGGCTTTCCTTGAGCAGAGGCACTGCCCTCCTGGAGACCCAGAGGCCTCTGCAGGATTCTCTCTGTTGTCCAATTGTGCCATAATTATGGGGTGGGACCAAGGCAGAGGCATTTTTAAAAGCCTGTACCCCATTCTAGGTAATTTGGGAAAGCAGAAAGCTTGTCATTTTTCCAAGTCCAGGCTGACCCGCTTCAAAATTAGGAGAGCAAGTTAAACTCTGCAGAGAAACCCAGAAAAGCGAACCATGTTATGGGAAATGGCTTGCTGGCAAATTAACCTGGAGAGAAGATGGGAATACTGGAACATCAGGTGGGAAGGAAATGGCCCACAGTTCATTGTTGTCATTGCAAAATATTTCTCATCAAGGCAGGTCAACTCTCCCTCTGTCCTGGCCACAGACAGTGCTTCCTTTGAAAGAGCACCGGGAGCCGTGATGTCCTTTGTCCTCTTTAGATTCTCTTGGCAAGATACAATCAGCCTTCTGGGCACTGCCTGCTAAGAAGGAGCCCTTCCAAAGAGCTGAGCTGCATCGCTACACCAGCTGAAATAAGCCCCTCGTGCCCTCGCAGTTGCAGCAGAGCTGGGCTTTCCTGAGCCTGTGGTCCTCCAGATGTCTTGGGTTGCAACTCCCATCAGCAGCCCGGCTGGCTGGGTGAGTTGGAAGTTGTAGATCAACCATCTGGTAGGGGTCAGTGTGGGGAAGACCCCCTTGTGGGGAAAGGTAGCAAAGCAGGCTGAGAGTAAGTTGGCCCTGAGGTGACCAGGAGTTGCCCCAAAGGGCCAGAGGCGACGTCGCAGGAGAGCTCTTCTCTAAAGGCAGCAGAGGGACCTGTGGTGCCCTTGAACAAGCGCATGTCCTGCTTTTTGCTTCCTCCTCCCCTTCTAAAGTTCTCTGGGAATGTGAAAATGTTTCCTACGTTCCAGCAGGAGGGTGAATATGCAGATCCCTTTTGTGCAGCATCTTCTGAGAGCATTTGCGGAGCTGATGGCTCCTTGGACCCCTTGGGATCCCTCTTCCGAGGAGGAGGAGGAGGAGGAGGAGGCGGCTGGTCCTGGGAAGGAGGTAGAAGGGCAAGGAGGGAAGTTTTCCTGGCTGCTGCTGAAGCCAAAGTCCTGAAAGGGCAGAGCTTTCTGCTCTGAAGTCCCGTCCTTGACGGAGGAGGGGACCTTGCAAGGAGAGACGGCCGTCGGGAAAGACGGGGGGTGAGGGGCCGCATCCATAGATCACAGAGCTGTGCGTTCCCACCTCTCTGGATGTCCTTTTAATGGGAGGCAGCCTCATCAGCTGTGCATCGGGGTGAGCACTGCCTTTCGGTGCAGAAGAGGAGAAGGTTTTGAGAAGACAAGGATGAGCAAGAATACAAATCACTGCTGCGAAGGCTGCCTAAGGGGGCCTCTCTCTTTCTCCTTCCATGTCTGGTTATTCGTGCCTCATCTTCGGGTTGCTCCCTGCTTCCTCCTCCCTGTTTCCCTTTCCTTCTTTGTTGCTTCTGCCGAAGGAGGAAAAGGAGTGTGCGGATCGTGGTGCCTGCAGAGGATGAGGCAAGGGGTGGCACGCCTGTCATTACATCATCACCCAAATGATGTGCATGATGTCATTTGGGTGATGATGTCAGGGCGCAGGCTTGCCCCGGATGCTTCTGGTGTGAGTTCTTGGGTGTTTCTGTCTGTGCAGGTGGCTTGTATATGAGCGAAAGGATGGAGGATGCAGGTGGGGATCGGTTGATTTGGTAAACGGGGCACCTTAATTTGCAGGCAAGAAATGCTAAGTAGTAACTCGTGCACCTGGCTGAGGAATTCCAGCGGCTGCGCTCTGCCAGCCATGGGAGCAGGGGGAAAGGGTCCGGCCGCCAGGCAGGACATCTACCCGACCGCAGAGTGTGAGGTCGGCTGAGGCGGCTTTCTGCTGCTCCCAGCCGAGTCGCCCGTGGCCGGGGACCCTCGCGGTAGGACTGCGGAGCCAGCGGAGATCCAACGGCTGTGGAGGGAGCTCTGGCCCCGAATATTGGCCCCCCTGCAAGAGGACCTCCGGCATTCCTGAGCAGGAAATGTACCCAAGCGCTACAGGCCCCCGACTGCCGGAGCCTTTAAGCAGCAGAAGCGCTTCTGATGGCGAAGCGAGCCGAGTGCCAGCTGGGACCCAGAAGTCTGGGGCAAACCGTCCTCTGGCCCCCATCCAGGCGCCCCACGTGCTTTCCCTTTCATGAGCTGCCTGGGCTGCTTCCGGAGGCTCTGCCCCCTCTCTGTGCAGAGGATGCCTGGGCTCTGGAGCTTGCTGCTGACCATGGGTCTGCTGGAAGGGCCGAGGGGGGCACAGAGCTGTGTGCCTCCTCCAGGGGGTAAGAAGGGGGGAGGGGGCTCTGCGGTTGGGAGGGTGGGCAGGAGGGGGCGGGTTCCATCTTGGCTTGCAATGCTTTGGGAGATCTGGCAGCAGGAAGAACGTTGGAGGGTCCCATGCCGAAGGGTGGGACAGCTGGGCAGGGGAAGGTTGACCGATGCGGGGACGCCAGCGCCTTTGGCCCCTGCTTATCCCGAGCCCCAGCCCTGATTGTCCCCTCCTCTGCTTCCCCCACCCAGCCTCCTGCCCTCCATCCATGCTGGAAAAACAACTCGTCCCACCCCAGCTGGGTATGGCTGGTGCCGAAGGGCCCCCCCCCCTCCTCCCCCCCCCCCGTCCGACGGCCGTCTCCGGGCGGGGGCCGCCGGGGCCGCCCCGCCTCCCT